CCTGCAGCTCGCCACGCCGCGCCGCGCCGGCCTGGCTGTCGCTCCCATTGGCCTGGCTGTCGCTCCCATCGGCCGGTTTCCCGAAGCGCCCACTGGCACCCCCGGCAGCGGAAGAGGGCGGTGGCATCCTGCGGGGCCGAGCCCTCCGAGCGCCACCCTCTTCCTCCGCCACCCTCACCCTTCGTCTGTGCTTCTAGAAGGAGGTCGCATCCTGGGTGGTAAGGCTGGGGGCGCGCGACCCGGGACCCAGGCAGGAGCCTGTCCCTGGTGTCTCTGGGAGGACGCCGTCTGCCCCTGGCTCCTGGCCTCCCCGTCCTGAAGAGAAGAGCTCTGTGCTCTTCTCCCGGGAAGGGGCCTTGGACACAGGGCCTGGAGGAGCACGGGTGGCGGCCGGGGGCTGGGGGGTGGGGGCTGGGACTGGTCCACCCCGGGGGACCCCAGGCTGGGTGACGGCCGGCGGCGGGGCTGCCAGCAGGGCCTCCTGGATTTTGCAGTCACGGTCCAGACCCAAACTTCTCGGTGCCCTCCTGGCTCTCCCTTTGGGCGCTGGCTCTTTGCTGCCCCGTTAAGAACCCTAGGGCTAGGCCACCGCACAGCGAGTGCTCAGAGGCCTCGGCGAAATCAAGTTAAATAACTTGCCTTTATGGCGTTTAGTTTTTGTGGTGATTTTCTTAGTTGTCTTCTCAGCCTGTGACTCATCTGGTGATTTGTGTGGCTCTAGGTGACTGTAACCCTTTTATTCACAGGGTTTTAAGAGGTGGCTTCTTGCTTTTAATGTCCTCTATTATGAGTTTCCGGTGATTTTGTGTATAAAGTTGAAGCTCTTTTCAGAAAGAATAAATCAAGTTATCTGTTGAGAAACAGCAGAAGTAGTCTTCGTAGCCCTGTGAGCAGCTGGGCCCGCAGCACAGCGCTTCATGTGCACTTGGAGCCTCGTCGCAGCCCCGGACGCCAGCTGGTGCCAGGCCGCTCCCTGAACTTGTGTTAAGGGCTGGGCTTCCCCCGGGCCCCAGGCACCCTCTGAGCCCAATGCTAGTTTGTTGTCTAAAATTACCTTTACATCGGGAAATCTTGAAGTAAAATTTGGGAAGTTCTTTATTAATTCCCTGGGGTGCTTTTGAATGACGGATTTGGTGGAGTACGTGTTTTGGACGTTTGGGCACCACCCCGAGGCCACTGGCTGCAGTCTGGTGCTGGTGCGGCCTCCTATGGGAGAAGTGGCCCCTGCGCCGTGTCCGGGGCCGTCCACCCCGAGCACGTGTCAGCTCACAGGTCCCTGGGCACCGTCCTCGTGGGCCCTCTGTTCACCCAGCACCTCCACCTCCTGTCCCCACTGTCACGATCGCCTTGTCTGTTCTCGTCAGGTGGCCTCACATCCTTCGGAAATGTCTCTTCCAGTCCCCAGTGACCTGTCTTTGTCAAGGGCAGTGGCCAGTGTCCTGTCCCCGTCTCACTCAGGCCCTCAGCAGTGTCTGACCAAACTAACTGCGCTGGCTGGTCCCCGCCGCCCGCCCTCAGCCCCAGGGCCCCGCTCCCTCCTGCTCTGGGAGCCGGTGCCTCTCCCTCCGCCTGTCACTCCCGCCCTGTCCCTGGTCCCCAGGGGCATGCAGCCGCCCTCAGCTCCCTTTCTCTCACCCTCACTCTGGGTCTTGGCCAGGCTTGCTGGCGTCCTCCCCACTCGAACCCGCTCTGAGCCGCGGGAGCCCCTCATTGGCTTTCCCGGCCTGTACTTGCTCTGGTGCATGCACCTTCGTGTGGTCACTGAGGCAGGGAGCCCCTGTGCAACCCCTTTGGTGACTTCCCATCACGGTGGGTGAAGTATGGCCCCTTAAGAAGCAGCTCCCAGTTCCCCTCTGTTTTCCCCATTTGCTGCTCTGTGCAGACCCCGCCCCACCGCAGGGCCCGAGTGTCTGCTCTTCCTCCTGTGGGCGACAGTCATCCCCCAGGTGTTCGCGAGGCTGCCGCTGCTCACTGGTCAGCCACCAGCTTGGCTGTTGTCCCGCTGGCCCCCTCCATGCCGCTCTTGTCTGTGCCCCTGTTGTGAGGGCCCCGGAGATGCCCTGTTTGTTTGCTGGCACGTTTGCTGTCTGTGCCCTTGCCCTGGTCCGGTAGCTTTTGGAAGCCGGAGGCAGCCCTGGTCACTGGTGGCTTCAGGTCTGCAGCAGGCGTGTCCACAGGCCTGCACCAGGCACTCTCTTTGGCCTGGGTTTGTGTCGGGGAGGCGTTGGCAGCATGTGGCAGACAGCCTGGTGGCTGTGGCTTTCAACTCCTGGGCCTCCCATCTGGGCCTGGGACGTGGCTTCTGGACCTGCCGTCTCTCCTCTCTGCTGTTTGTCCTCGTGCTGGGCTCCTTGGTCTCTTGGTGGCTGTTCTGAGGGGAGCAGGTGGGCGAGGTCTCTTTCAGGAAAGCATTTCGGGAGCCCCCGGCTTCCATCTGGTTGGCGGGTAGCGTGTTAACGGGGCAGAGTCTGTGCTGCAGGAAGTCAGGCTCCTGAGGAAGGGGGGCCCAGTACCTGCCCAGCACAGCCTTCGTGTGGGCCTCTGTGTTCAGCACCTACTTCTGACCTTCTTGAGTTCCAGAGCAGTGGAGAGAGGCCCACACCCCAAAGGCCAGCGGAGGTCAGAGTGGCCCTGTTCACAGAGAAATAACTCGAGACAGCTCTCTGTGGCCCAGTGGGCTGGCCAGTCTCGTATCTCAAACTAGACAGACTTATCCACCTGGTGCCAAGCGCATCTGGGGACAAGCGCAGCCGCCCTCGGAGGGACCAGCCTCACCTGTAAGGCGACCTGAGCGCACGGCCACTGTGGGTGGCCCTGCGAGGACACGACCGGCCAGGCGGGCCCGGGCCTCCCTCTAGGCGCATCGTTAGCCCACACTGCCTTCCCTCCTGGGGAGAGTGAGTGTGAGCGGGCAGGGGACCCACCGGGGCACGAGAGGAGTGAGGAATATGGCTCCCTCATCCCCCAGAGGGCTTTGCTCCTCTTAAGGGAGAAGTGTGCCCCCGCTGTCTGCCTGAGGGACGGCGGCCCGGCTGGTATTAACCCTGACCTGGTGCTGACCCCAGCCCCCAGAGCCGCTCCTCCCCAGGCCCCGGCTCTGGGGTCCTTGTGGGCCGTCCCCACAGTAACTGCTGGCCGCTCCCCCTCTCCCCAGCTTCTGAGGCTGTTCGTACTCTGCAGAGAAACCCCACCCAGGGTGGCATCCAGAACAGCTTATGAGAGCAGAGGGGGCCTCTGGGAAGCCGTCCGGGACTGGAGTGGACCTTCCCTCCTCTTCGAGCTCAGTTTCTCACCCCAGGTTGGAAATCCGGATGCAGGCCAGTGGACCTGTCTGCACAGCGCCCAGGGCCCGGCTAGCGCAGGCCCAAGAGAGCCTTTCTCACCACAAGTGAGAGGGAGGTGGTCACAGTGCCTTCTCTTTGTTGACTGATAAAGAGGAGCAGAATGTTGCTGGGAAAGCTGAGGCGAGTTTTGGAGTTTTGTTCGAGGTCCGCTGTGCAGAAGAGGAGACCAGAGCAGGGTCTGGGGACCGCCGCAAGCACTTGCGTCTGTATTCTGAGCCCTGGCCGAGGCACTGTGGGGGTTTCTGAACTCAGATCTGTGGTGTGGGGGGCTCTGCGGTGCAGGCAGGAGGTGGGAGCGGAGACACTCGGGTTGTGTGGATGTCTGGGATGAGAGGCGGTGCCTTTGCCGGGACAGAGCCCACGGGGGGCCGGCCTTGGTCTGCTGTGGACACGCGGCAGCTCGGCTCTTGCTTTCCCATCTCCAGCTCCCGCGGGTGCCTGGGCCCTGGGCCCGCAGGCAGCACCGCCCTCTAGGCTGACATCTCACAGGCTCCCAGCTGAACATTTGGAACCAATCACTTCATTTCCTAAGTTTTCTCCCCTTTTTCCTAGCGGTGAATGCCATAACACCCCACAGTCGCTAGAAGCCTGGCAGCCATCCTAGACTCCTCGCTTTTCCCTGTTGTCACCTCCAGTCCCCAGCACACTGTGTTCCCACTGTCCCTGCACTAATCGTCCTCCCGAGGTGCCTGTTCTCCACATCTCCCCCGCCGCCCAGTGGCCTGCAGGCCACCGCCATCTCTTGTTTGGCCTTGACAGAAGCCTCCTGCCAGGGCCTGAGTCTTCCCTGTGCTCAGGGCCCTCCACCGGCAGCCCCAGGGCGTCATCTTAGCCCTGCGCTTACAGGCCCCTGTGCCCTGCCTTTGTATCTGCAATAAAGCTGTAACTTACTTCTCAGTTACAAACGCCCGGCTTGACCCGGCTCCCACCTGTCTTCTGCCTCCTTCCGTCTGACCCCTTTCCCCTCGTTGCGCCGGGCCCACGGCCTCCTGTCTCTGACCTGCGTGGCTCCAGCTCCCAGCCTCCTCAGCTTCCTGCACGTGCTTCACTTGTTCCCACCTGGTGGCCTTCCCCGTGTTCTCCCTGCGTCACTGCTGCCGTCTCTGAGGTGGTCCTGACTATCTCCTGGCTTATGGAGGCATCTTCTAGTTTTTACTGAGGGGCAGGTTGGGGAAGTGGTTACCTGCCTGGTCTCTGGAACCAGACTGTTGGGTTGGAGTCACGCTGACCCTGCCTGTCACTCGCTGTGTGACCTTGACATGTTATTTAACCCTCTGGGCCTTAGCTCCCCTGTCTGCAAACTGGGGAGGCTGATACCTGCCTCTTTACCACGAGGATTAAATGATTGCGTGAAGCTTCTGTCAGTGTGTGTGGATAGCAAGTGCTGGGTGAGAACGGGACTGGGCACCGGGCAGAGTGCCCCATCGAGGGTGCAGGCTCAGGGAGTCAGGAAGGACTTGGGCCGCCCTGCCTCTGCCTGAGGAACGGAGGTGCTGCCAAGTTATTCTCAGTATTTCAGTCTGATGGGCTAGACCGAGCGCCTTCCCTGTGGGGCAGAAATGCAGAGCCGTGGTAAAGGAACCCAGTCCCCCAACAAAATAAATCCCCGAGTTGTGTACTGGCAGCAGGTGGGGCTGGAAACGGCTCTTCCAGGCCTTGGAGGGGAAATCTAGTAGGTGCTTGGGACTGAAATTAAGCCTTGGATCATCTGAAAGGAACTTCCATGTCTTCTCTTAAGGATTGTTAGCTCAGAATTAACTCCTTGAGAAATGGGTGGTAGGACTGGTGACCAAGAACATGTGATTTCCTACGGGAGAGCTGTGTGTTCATTGTCATTCTGTATCAGATAAAGCCGTAACTGGTCATTCTTCGAT